TCTTTCCCTCTGCAGCATGGAACCATGTAGAGGAAATGTTTGTGTTAAGGGGAAAGACAGAGGACAGGGTTTGGGAGCAAAAGGATTTATAGTTTGTGAGAGAGAGGGAACCCAGCAGACCTTCTCAGTAGCTCCTAAAGGGGATATTTTTCTGGAAGCTGGAGAAAGCTTATCAGGCCCACTGGGTCAGGACCTCTGGACAACAGTTTGGTAGCTGTATCCTGACAGCCCTCACTCTGAGAAGTCCTTCCCATAGGCCCCTTTAGTATCAACAGATCTCCACAACAAAACCCCTACTGCTGTCTCTAACTGAAGAGTGCTGTGGGGCCCACCCTTGCACTGGAAATAATCTTTTGGTAAAGTAAACAGCCCCAAGTACACATTTTTAACAACTCAGACTCATGGTTTTGAGGTAAAATACTATTTAACCTACCAGGAAGTATAGAGGAGTCAGGAGAGAGCAAGGTCGCTTGTTTCACTCACTTTTCAACTCTTACTGAGCCCAGCCTCAGCACTTAGGTTTGAGCCATCCTGCAGCACTGATATGATAACTAAGATATGATAGGTGGGATCATTTCCCTCATTGTTGAGAAGAGATTTTGGCTTTGTGATAGGTAGAGCCTAGGTCACCAGAGGAACGCCTCCCAGCTGAGGCTGTATGCATGGTCACACTCGTACACCTGCCTTCAAAAGAGTAGGCAGCACTACCCTTCCAGAGCAGGACTCCAAGCACTCTTTATAGTGTCTTCCCCAGTAATAATTGCACATTGCTTTCCCCTTTGGGCAGCACTTCTATGCAGCAGCTAACTAACAGTTACTCCTGCAGCTCAGGTGACCATAGACTTTAGCTAGGGATTGTAGGGGGGGTGTGGGGAGGGATTCAATTTCCTCTGCTGATGTTGCCAGGGTGCGTGCATGATCACCACTGGTGAAGGATAGAAGAGAAAAAGAGTTTAAAAAGTTTTTAGGACTAGTTACTTAATTCAGTATGACCTGGGACTTAAACTGAATTTATTCTATTTTGTTTTGTATAGTCTAAGGAGACTCTAAACAAAAAGAAGATAAAGCTGATTGCAGATGTGAATGCGCTGCAGTTGACATTAAGGCATCTGCATCTTTTGCACAAAGAACAAAGGAGTTTTGTTATAAGCCTCTTATTAAATTCTGAATAACAATGTTCTGATGGAAAGGAAGAAAGAAAAAGTTTTAAAAGGACTGAAGTAAGTTTATAGAAACAGACAAAAAAAAGACATCTATAAATACAGCGTCAAGAAAAGAAAAAAAAAAAAAAAAAACAAAGCAGAATTAAATGGGAGTGGGAGTCTGGAAGTTAAAAAGTGCAGTAGATCTGACGTAGGCAGGATATAGCTCCAGAAATATGTTTGAAATGACAATGTAGGTTGGAAATTAGCATTACACAGTGAGAGCAGAAAGACATTGTGGGGTCAGGCAGGAACCAAGCAGTGCCTTACAAGTCATAGAAAATTAAGGAGAAGCTGTAGTTATAGGCTACTGAGTCTGTAATTATAAGGGCTTTCAAAACAAGAAGGCCTTACAGGACTCAAACAGGGTTTCCAAAGAGAAAGCAACATGAAGAGCAAAATCTTCCTTGGGGAAGAAAGAAGTTGCAAATTATACTGCATCTCTTGCAATTCCAGTAAGCAGTAGGAAATCTTCAGGAAATAACAGCAGTTCCACAATTTTTTGTAAGAAATGATACAATCTCATATATGGAATCTATCATATATCATGCCTCCCATACCAAGAAACAGGACTGCTAGACTTAGCTCTCACCCTGAGAGGTTAACCATTTTGTGAAGTTTAACATCTCTGTAAGGACCATCCCAAATAAACAGATGTACTACCTAAACAAACTGCCCTACTCTTTGTTACACTTTGCACAACCTACAAATGCAGTCAGCAGAAAAAAAAAAAAAATCCCTCCAATATTATTAACATCACTTCTGGAGAAGAGCACATCAAGTAGAAAAAATACATAAATATAGTAGCTATATAGATTTTATATGGGCAACCAGTGATGAGCCAGTTGGCCATCAGGACTCAAGCAATGATAAGCATCTCTATTCAGAGAGAAAGAATAGTTTTTAGGATTATAAAAAATACATTATTTGCACTGTAAATTATGAGATACTTGGTCTTTTTTAAGTGGAAAAATTATCATGATTGGAGCTTGCAAAGGCACTTGAGAATGTTATTAATGGTGTTACAGAAAAAAAATATTGGAAAGTGAAATATTCTTAACAGTCCCTACAGGTTCCCTACATCTATTCTCTACTAAAAATTATCAGGATATATATTGGTTTGGACTCCTCAAAACAAAGTTAGGGTGTCTATCTTTCTTAACATGTGCTGCTAAAGACCTCTGACAGCTGCATAAATAGGGAAGAAGATACTCAATCAGAAAATGCAGACCAAGGTTTTCCCCAGAGCATAAAGATATCTCCTCCTATATGTTTCTTCTAAGAAAATCAAAACTTTTTTAAAAAATTTTGTTTGTGGCCAGGTTTAAGCAAAGAGAAAAAATCAGGGAGGGGAAACGAATCTGAATCATAAAATCATAGAATGGGTTGGGTTGGGAGGGACCTTGAAGATCACCTAGTTCCAACACCCCTGCCATGGGCAGGGACACCTCCCACCAGACTAGGTTGCTCAAAGTCCCACCTAACCTGGTCTTGAACATTTCCAGTGATGGAGCACCCACAGCTTCTCTGGACAACCTGTTCCAGTGCCTGTCTTTCCAGTGCCAGTGAATGTTTTGTTTAGGGACACTTCTTTACTAAATGGGGTTGATTTTTCCTGACATGATGCTTCACTGGAATTGTGTACCCACATGGACACAACTATATACATCTCACCATACCTCTTTAATTAGCTTCCCCTTATTAGTGTGTGATTAGGGTTATGTACCTATTGTTTGTTATGATGAGATGTGATGTTAGAAGCCATATTTTTCAGAAAGGCAACATGAATGGCAGCCATTCATGAACCATTGCTGGCATTAAACATTTTAATGTTATAATAAAAAACATAAATGTTGGAACAACAGTTTTATATCATAAGCATCAAAATATACAGTTCCAAACAACAAATAAGAATTTATAGCTCAAAGAGAGCAGATGACATTTTTTTTGAAATAAAAAATGTTTAAAAAAAAAAAAACAACAGCAATACTGCAGTTTTTTAAAACTTTTAAGGAACCACAAGGTCTTTTTTGTATATGTGCATCAGTCTGACCAATAGAAATTTTTCTTTTTTTTTTTTTTTTTTAACTGATCCAAAGTACTTCATTTCATTTTGTTATATCTCCTCAGAATATTTCACTGTTTTTTTTGTCCATGGTCCCTTCCTTCTCCAGGCTCCCTGTCCATGCTGTCAAGACTTTTGTGAGAAGTTGTGTTCAATTATTTGCAAAATCGCCATGGCATTGATGTTGCAACTTCTCAGTGACTTTTGGGAAAAAAAACAAACAAACGAACAAACAAAAAAAAACACCAAGACTGTAATCAGGGTGTGACTTTTAAGATACCATAAAGGTCAGCTTCTTCATTTAGAAATGTGAGAGCTGTTGAGATCATCTTCATATCACTAAGCTCTGGGCATTTATAGTGTGCGCTGATGTTGGATTAGCTTTGAGATATTTATGCTGCTGTTAAGTCTATCTACTCCATGTATGACAAAAGAAATAATTACAGATAATCCAACCAGTAACAATATATTAGTTTAACTTCCTGAGAGAGCATGGCCTAGGCACCTGGACAATAAAGTCAGAAGCAAAGAACTTGGTTCTGCCAGTGTCATGTTTAATGATGCTGGGCAGATCACTTGATATGTTTGGATCTCAGTTTCACCCCTTATGAAAAGAGAATAATAATAAATTTAATTTTCTCTGTGTCTGCTTTGAAATAGCTAGAGAAAAGGCGTTGCATAATAGCAAGTGTTATAATTCTTGTTACTTTGCCTCTTCAATTTGAGGTGGAAGGGCAAAAAAACCCAGCCCACTCTGTACTGATGCAAGATACTTCCTGTGCCAGTGAGCTCATATATCTAAACCCACAAGTTAATCTGGTTTTGAAGTCTCCTTCAGGGATTATCCTTTGGCTGATACAAATTTACTTCAAAAATCTGGACTTCCTGGGGCTACAGAGCAACAGAGCTTGCTTTGCAGGAGGGTGAAACAACCAGTCTAGCTGTTCTGGCAAATTCTGAGAGCCCAGGCATGAAACAAAATTATGAACACCAAAACACCGTGTTTCCTCCCCCGAACCTGGGGAGAACTCCCCTCGGAAGGGGCAGAGCAGCTCCTGGGGCAGCTACGCGGCGGCCCGTTGGCTTTGCCGGCTCTGTCCATGGTGCTGACTTCCCTCTGCACGGCCGTCATCGGCATTAAAACGTCATTAGGTGGAACTAGGGAACATCACGTTAAGGCAAAAATTACTAAAAATTCTTGTTTCAGGGATCTAGAAGTTTACAAATAGCTTCAAGCTGTGTTTTGGCGAACAGAATTCTAGCCATTTTTTAACAGTAGACATCAATGAAGATTTTACTCTTGGCTAGAGGCATGGCAGGGTGAGTTTTTCTTCTTAAAAAATTCTGGCTTATTAGTGGCTCTTCCTAACTTCAGCTGTTGTAGTCTTTGTTGCAATAGCAGAGGGAAACATTAATCCTGGACATTCTTTATACAGGAAGTCATTAACATTTTTGTTATTTGGAATTGCAGGAAGACATTCATTTGGTGCAGAAGCGATTTTGAATTTCACTATATTTGATATTAAGTCAACTGGCTCATCAAGTCCTATGGGAACTTGAAAGGAAACTCAAACAACTCACATTCAAATTCATAACTCATCTCAAAATCAGTACAGCCAACATTACAACGATCATTTCCTGATTTATTTGCTCAAAGGAAAGACTGTCCTTAACAGTCTCTTGCAGTTGCCAGATCTTATTTGGAGCCACTAATTCAAGCAGTAATATAAAACAACTTTACCTGTTTAAGAAATCAAATAGGAGATACAGATGTGAAATTCTGACAGCCATTTTGTTTGTCCTGCATATTTATTCCTTTGGCTTATCAAGAAGGAAAGAAGGGTTTCTTTCATTAATTGTTGTTGTTGTTGTTATGATCTTTTTCTTTAACTAGACAGAAAGCCAGAGATATCTTACCTGCCTGCTTTCGTGATGATCATCTCTGTCCCAATGTCATGAAATCTTTTCCAGAGGTCAGCACACTGGAGCTCTACCTGGATCTCTTCCATGGATGAAGGTGGAGGAGGCTGAGGGCCTGAGCCACCAGATGTAAGGTCAGAATGGGAACCAAATGAACAGGAAGTCCTTTCTGCCAGCACCTCTGTGTCTGACCCAGTGCTCTGCTCTGAGTCTGCAAAGTAAACACATCAGGCAAGACACTTCAGTTCTACCTGCTAGGAGTGGTAAAGGAAGGGAAGAGAAAAGCAACAAGGCAAGTGCTAAAGAATAGTACAGTGGCCTTTATATATATATATATATAAAACAACACACATATATTTGTGCTTTATTATTACGGCCTGATTTGGGGCTTTGGTTTTCCAATGTGACATCTGGCATTTTTGTAAAGTTTTAGGACCCTCAACATAAAATATAAATAGTAACAAACAGTGCTGGGAATTGAGTACACAATATAGATTTAAAAAAAAAAAAAAAAACAGAAATGAAAAAAAAAATATTAATGCAACCCATAGCTTCTAGCCAAGATTAGATGGGCTCATTGGAAAACTACATTCCTTTTAATTTAATATCCTCCCACACTACTATTGTAGAGTTGGTTATTTTTAAACAACGCATTTTTTCCTTTTAATATCCTTGTCATCAAAAATAATGAGTTTTTTTGTTATTATTATTTTGCTATTTGGCAGTGTGATTTTGGAAATGTGTTTTATTTGCTCCTATAATAACTTTTTTTGGAACAATGACATTTCCTGGGAAAATAACCATGCAGCTTTCTGTGAGGAAAATGCTCTAGGCTACTGAAGGACAGAAAGCGAAGATAGTAAACATATGGAATATGTTACCAAGGAAAGCGATTGAAGAAAACTGCAAAAAAAGAGCATGAGAGAATCACTTCTCTTTATGAGGGAGAATAAGAAGAAGGCTTGCTCAAAAACTAAGCAAACAAACAAAAAATTGAGGTTCAACTAGTTTAAAAGTCCAGGCTGGCATGTTGAGTCAGATGGCCACTACTTTGCAAAAATATCTCATGTATATATTAAATATATCTGTACATCTATGGTCCTGGTTCTCATACAGTATAGCTAAGACAGAATTCTGAAAATAAATGTTATTTTGCAATGGGCTGCACACTCACATTACATCAAAATAATTCACAAGACATTCTGCAAAACAGTGTGTTCTGTTTAACCTGATTGTTAACACATTGGCATAAGTATTATACAGATGACTGACAGAGGAATAAAATCATGTGAAGCACTTGGTCAAATGGCTTTAGAATGTCTCTGTGGATTTCAAAGGAGGTACAGAAATAATACTTTAGGTCATTGATCACATAAGTACAAGTATCCCATTGAAGGAATAAAGCAGCAATTTAAATGTATTCTCTGAACTTCAAGAAAGAAAGAGATACCTCTCTCTGAAAGGGAAACTTAAGGAGACAAAAAGTAACAATCTTTGTTAAAAATGTGATGAAATCACCCCAGCTAAAATTCCTTCCATACCAAGCAAATGCCAGAAACTCTTTAATAACCCTGATGTCATGCAGGCTGAGTCTCAGATTTACAGTGTTTCTGAGAGACTGTGTCCTGGAACAGCTTGCACATGAGTGCAGAGGGATATAGCTAAGAAGAAGCTGGGGGTGAAGATGCCACCTGCAGAACTACCAGCCCCACCTCCTGCCACATGGAAAAATTTCTGGAAAATTCATACTGCTGCAGCAGCATGGATATAAACTGTTTAGCTGATAGTATATGAGAAACTCCCAGCTGCAGGTGGCATCAGGAAGCATTTATCTGCTTGGTATCTGGTTGATATGTCACTGGATAGCTCACACTTTGCTTGAAGGATGTTTTCAGTAAACTTTGCCAACCATTTAGACAATCTGCCAGTACAATATAGAAATACTGTAGGACATCAGAAAAGTTTTGTATGCATTGCTCCCAATCCATTCTGACTATGGAGTCCATTCATCTCCTACCGACTTCCATGTTGAGCTGAAGCAATAACAGGTCCATCCCCCTAAAGAAGTAGTACACAAACGTACCGAGTGCTGTTACACGGAGACAGTACTACACCCAAAACTGGTATCCTAGATTCAAGATAACATGAGATAACCTGCTGGGGTTCTATGACCACAAGACAGAGAGTCAATATGAGATAATAGAGAGGCTGCAACATTTGCTCCCTGCTTCAGGAGCCCAGTGATGCAGGAGCAAAGTGATACTTACCTGCTTCCTCTAGGTCAAGTTATTCCACCTCAAAGGACTGAGGTGGATAAGCCTGAGTAGGGGTCACTATTTTTAAGACACTTTTCTTCCTAGCAATGGTTATTCACTTCATTCTTCAACAAAAAGCAGAAGTGTGCTTCACAAATCACAGTAATACCTTTTTGTGTATCTAATCATGTGCTGAATCAAGTCTTACATCACCTCTGAGGTCCCAAGAAACTACAGAGTATGAAAAGACTGAACCTAAAGAAAGCTTCCCCTATGGAGTCCTCCTCTGGAGGACAAGGTGCTAAACTGCAGGTTTGAATCTAAAGAGACCAGTTTAGGCCAAATCATCTCTGCTTGGTTCAGGCAATCAGAAACTCAGTGCATCCTCTGAAGCAGTATGGCAAATGGCCAACAGATGGCACTTGGCTAGATGCTGTCCCCACTTCATTCCAGCATTTCATGGACTGTCTTTCAAACTGAGTATGTGCCTGGAGCCTTGAGGATGCCTGGGAATTGACTGGAATTGCATGGTGCAGAAAATTAAATATCAGAGGCTTAAGTCCTCTCTCACTGATTTTATGGTGATATGACTCCACTGACTTTACAGACTTTTGGAGGGTTTTTTTGACAATGACGGAAGTGGAAGGAAAGCCACAATCTCGGATATAATTTGTCATGCTGGCACAAATCAAAAATTGCAAAAGGAATTCACTAATTACTGATAAGCCAGTATCTACCCAACTATGCAATACCACACAAAGGAGAAAAGAACTTTTTTTCTTTCGAGGGCTATCATTTTGTGTCCTGAAATACAATCTATAATTGTCCCCAAATTAATGCATGGAACAGCAAGTACCTCTTCTTCCTTCAGTTTTGGAGATGGGAGAGAGTCATTAGTGTTGCTGCTCTTAGTTCAGTCTCAGTAGGCACTGAGATGGGTTTTGTGGTTTTTTCAGCCTTTCCTGAGCTAAGCCCTCCTGAATGGTGTCATCCTGTTGGAGACACTGAGTTCATTACAGAGTCAGGGAGTTCAGGGGACATTAAGTGCATCTGACATACAAAAATCATCCCTAATGACATCTGGCTCTACAAGACTCAATGGCTCTTAATTAGAGTTCTCTACATGTGTTTTGATTCTAAATTAATTGTGAGAGAGATGTCAACATCTGTGAGCAATATACAGAAAGGTGCAGGGCGAACTAGTCTCTATAGGTAATAATACTGGCAGCTGGCATCTAGCACAGCTCAGGCCACTCTGCTACATACACTTGCTCTCAACTAAACAAGACAGGAAGAAGATCTGAGTTTTCTTCTGGCATTCAAACTGGGAGCTTGGTTTTCTTCATGCACCATCTTCAGTGGTGTGCAACTTCATTAAACTCAAAGATACTACTTCTGCTTTTCCCTACAATGTGTTCCCCACATGTATCTACCTGAATAAGGGCCTTTCCTGATGCACCATAGCTAGAGATGAACATCTCCAAAGCTCCTGCTGACTGTACAGTTCAATATCAGTCTGCCTCTTTCATTTCCCCTTTCTTTCTAAACCCATCTATTTCCACTCTTGCTCAGCTGTGTTGTTGTTTGTTTGGGTTTTTTCCCTGATGTTTACACTGATTATTTCTGCTGTCCTATGGAGTGATGTGTAGCCAGAAGAAAGCACAGCTGTTTTGGTCTGTGTGGAGAAAGACCCAATGACCACAGAGAAGTGCCAATGCTTATCTCCTCCAGACTAATATGTTCCATCCAGAGACAATACAGAGAAAAGTTTCTAAAATACTGTTACTTGTTACAGGTAGCTTGCTGGACAAACAAGATGACCAAGTGTTCAATGTGCAAAAAACCTCTCTGAGGCCTGAAGCACAGTTCTCTTTCACTGCCACTGTGCAAAAAGGCTGTTCCCTTTCTACTACACTGTTGGATGGCTTCCTATCATCCCTTCTTACCACACTGACCACATATCCAGCTACTGTAGTTTAACAATGCTGGATCTAGAAGAGAGGAAATTTCTCAGCATTTTCAACAATCTTTCAGTCTACCAACAAGACCACAGGGTCACTTTCAGAGCTCTCAGGGATGCCATAGCCATTGCTGAGATACAGAGGAACATTAAACTGGTTTAGATTTTTTTCTTTCTTAATCTGTTTCCCATGTCTACCATTTCCAGATCACCCTGGATATCCTCAGCTCATAATTTCTTTTGATCCACAAATTCCCAGGCTTCTTGTTGGCAAATAGGAAGGAAAACACTCTTCTCACAAGCATAGTGACTCTGGGGTCAGCCTCCCCACTGAGTGCCCCAAGATCATGGAAAATAACCCCAATGGGCTTCCTGCACCAATGCTATGTGTCCTGGATTCAGAGGCCCCTCACACAAAATAGCAAGCTGCTACTGACTGACTTCTTTCTACAACTCAGCTGCCTAGCATTCCTCATGTACATTCTCTGCTTTTTCATCAGTCTCGTACAAGAGGCAAACTGGTATGTGAGACATTAAAAGACATTAATTTTCTAAGCAACTGCATACATGGATCTTCAGCAGAATTTTCTCTGCAGCTGGAGCACAGCAGGGATACCACTGCTCTTATTTAATCAATAAAACAAAAAGAGCTCAGTTTTGTTCCTGGCCATATCATGCAGCTCATACAGTCAACAAATGTTTTACTCCAGGGTATCAAAGAATACAAATTACAAGAGTGAGAACAATGATAAAAAAACTATATACATAAAAAAACATCTACCCAGAGGAGTCCAAAAGAATTGTTCTCTTCCCCTTTTTTTTATTATTTTTTTTTTATTTTCATATGTGTAGATATCTAATGTAGATCCTGTCAGATTCCATTAACATAAAGATTTCTCGTGGGTGGAATGTGGCAGCTGCTACAAGCTGTTAGGTTTTTTTAACTGTTTATTTTTGCTTGTAAGGTTTGTGAACATTCAGTGCAACAGGT